CTCCACTAATTCACTGAAAAAAGACCATATCATAATGAAACATAAAAACAAATTTTTATCATCAAAGTCTTCATGTTATCGACAAGAAGAAAGACGAAGTAATTTTTATTATTTAATTAATTTTCTGAATCTTTTCTAGCAAGTTTGAAGTTTTGGTTTAAAATATTATTTTTCTTACGATTAGTATAGGAAATCTTAGCGTCTTTTTTCGATAAATATCATTGATTTGTAATTCTTGCTAAAATCGATTAATTGTCAGATTTTAATGAAAACTTCACAAATGAATTAAATTATTTTTAAATTGTTTTTAGCAGATCTTGGTAAAAATGTTTTGTTTTTACATCTGTTACTCCCACTTACTTAATTTTATGAAATTTCGTGAAATTAAATTTCACCCCCTAAATATTTTAATTTAGTTAAAATTAGGACTCCTTGGAGAATTTAACTCGTCAATTTTTCTTTTGTAAAACAGGAACATCGTCTCCTACGAATCGTAAAATTAAAAAAAAGATGCAATAAAACTAGGTACCTCAAAAATTTCGCTTAAACATACCATACCATGATGAAAAAGGCTACAAACATGATAAAATAAAGTTTTATGGTCAAAATGTTTATGTTATTATTAAGAGGTAAGACCAAAGTATTTTTGATTATTTTATAAAATTCATTCAGCCTATCTGGCACGTCCAAAATTTTGGTAAAAATCTTGTTTTTCTTACGTCAGTAGGTGGGCTGAAGATTAGTGTAGGAAATTTAGCATCTATTTTGCGGTAAAAAGACACTGTATTTAAATTCTTGCAAAAATCAAATAATTGGTGGGTTTTAATTAAATTTTCAGAACTTATATACAACTAAATGAAATTATTTCTGAATTTTTTTTGGGGGGGGTGAATCATGGTGAAATATTGTCAACCAGAAACACCATTTGCCGAAAGTCTGCTATGAAACGTAAAATAATAAAAAAAAAGATTTTACAAATAACATAGATTAAGAACACTCTTGTCTTTAAAAAAAGTTTTCAATGAATAATGAAACTATATTTACTGATCATAAATTGAAAAGCTTAGTAAAAATCATCAAACACCAATATTTTAAAAAGAATTTTTAATTTATTTTTGTATCTGTATAAACGTGCTGATTTTTGTAAGTACGGACGACCATACACGACATTATCATAAAATAAGAGTGATAACTATAATACATTTAAAGCCAAAGTATCTACAAATCAATAACACATTAGATTACGGAGAATATTTTCCTAAATTTTTAAGATTACTAACTACTGTAGAATTATGAAAAATAAAAAAAAGGGCGGTTACGTCATTTTCTTCAATTATGTTTTACAGATAAAGTCCTCGAAGAACAACATTAGATTCGGCCCTAAGGTTTAAATGAAAAATCTTTCTTAAAGCTTTTTATTAGTTTTCAGTCATCACACTTTCAGAAGGTCAACACGTTAAATAAACAGCTACTGTCGGGTTAAAAAAAAAAAAGTGCATTCCCGCGATATTTTCAACTTAAAGTAAATAATATATGTTTCAAATGAGATTAATTATACTTTAAATCAGCTAATATTCCCTAACTAAAATTACTGAAAAGATTTTTTTTTATATTTTGGAAGATTTTTAGTGAAGAGAATTGCATTGCAATAAACGCGGGTCAAAAATGCCGCTAAAATGACATTCTTTAAGAAAAAAAATAAAAACAAAAAATACTTTCAGTCAATTTAAATCAGTTTTTAATTAGAGCAAAGTATTTATTATTGGAAATATTAAATTTAATCTATTAGCTTGAAATTAAAACTAATAAAAAGCTTTAAGAAAGATTTTTCATTTAAATCTTAGGGCCGACTTCCAATTTCCGTCTGGTTTACTTAAACGTAAATACTCTTGGCACGAGTCCATTGTTTTCCCCTGCAGCTACAGGATAATTAGTAGGACTTGTATCAGTAAAATCATTATCATCTCCAAAACATTCTTAAATTCTAAAAATATTTTCTGGCTTTAAATAACCTGCAAATGGTTGATAAGCCGTAAAAAAGATGCAAAACATTTTGGTTTTCCTTTATGTTCTCCACGGTTTGGAATTTAGTTTTTCCTTCTTTTAGACTAGTTGCAATCCAATGTTAGAGAGACGAGTCTAGGCAGATTATTTAATTAATAGCTGGTGCCAGTCAAGACATTTTCACGCCATCTGTAAGAGCATTAGTGCGTAAGTGAATGAAACAGACTAGCGTGGAATTTGAACTCAGCTCGTCGATTTCATTTTCTACTCTGGTATCTGCTATACTACCCACACACATCGAAATTATTATAAAGATTAAAAAAAAATCTGTGTTTATAAAATTCCCCATCGGCTAGATGTTCCTTCAACATGACATCCGGATTGTTCTTCGAGCGTAAATGCCACGCATTTCAAAGTTAATTAACAAAAAGTAACAGCAGCCAGCGTAATTAAAAGGTTTTTTTTATCAAATAATATTTTGAAAGCACAATTTTTAATTTTGACATCTAATAAATTTTAACATTTTCTCGTATAATTTTTTTAATATTAAAAATTGCCAATTTTAACTTTTTGAAATTAAAAAAAAAATCTTTGTTTTTTTTTTTTTAAATATTAGAGTAATAAACATAGACATATTTAAAGAACATTCTTAACAAAAAAAATGAGTCGTAACAAAAATATATATTACCGTAAATTGTTAATACTGAAATATAACGTATATTATTTACATTAATCGGACTATTGTCCCCATCTTTGTCGCCATATTTATCACAACATTTCGGCCGTTGTGATAAATATGGCGACAAACATAATACCTCATCTCAGAAATATAGACAGACTCTGAAATATAACGGTTAAAAACAAGTAAACCGGTTTATCTTTGGTCAACAGAGTAAGATTCAAGGACAAAAAAAAATGTGCGCAACAAGTAAAAAAAATACTTTTAAAAATACATTAACTTTAACGTAAATAGTGCGAGAATTTTTTGAAATATCAAACCGGTGCGAAACTTAAAAAGAAATTAAGAACTGCTGATATAAAAGCTGGTATTGATGTAATGGTTAACAAGTTTCAATCATGCTATATTATAGATTTTTGTCTGAATTTCTGGGATGAGGAATTATCATTATTTACACTATATATATATTTGGAATATTTTCCTCATATTTGCTGTTGGTATTATCACAACATTTCCGGCTGTTGAGGCCATTCCCTTTGTCTCAAACCTCTTTGACATATATAAAGAAATTGTCCAGGATTGACTGCTATATAGGGGTATTGATATTATCTTCAATGAAAGTGAACAAATAAAAAAGATTTTGTGAAACCACGGATAGAAGACATATAACCGGTTGATCTATAGGAAAATATCTCTTCTTTATTATTTGGATGAACCGAACTAGTACATAAGTGTTACATAATATAGATATTCCTATATGGCAATGAATTCTGGACCGTCTCGTCACAGATTGAGAAGATACTTGAAATGTGGTTCTACAGAAGGATGTTGAGAATACCATCGATCGAATATGTGAACAACGACAAAGTCTTAACATTTTAGAAAATAATACTTACTTACCAACGATATAAAAAAATCAAAGTTTTTGTTACACAGTGTTATGTATGTTATTAGTATGTGCATATTAAAATAAAGGCTTTTCTTGTAACACTTGGCAGTATGTATTTGTATTTGATTGAATGTGGTGGACAAGGGATTTTTTTTTTTTAGTTTTACTAATGTTCTTTCGGTTGTTTTTCCTTTCTGCACTCTCTTAGGCCTCGTAAAAGAAACATTTGTGTACATTAGAAAGGGTGCATAAAACTGTTAGAAAGAAAGAAAGAAAGAAAGAAAGAAAGAAAGAATTAAACAAACTGATATCGACAAAAAGGAGAGGACAAGAAAATTAGCTAGCTGGCTACCTAAATAGATAGATAGATAGATAGATAGATAGATAGATAGATAGATAGATAGTGTGGACATAAGAATCAACACGACATGGAACTATGTATTTCACGACTCAAGCGATCTTTAGACCATATATGTTTATATTCAATATTGCGCAATATTTCCCTATAAATATAGCACATTTTAAGCAATATAACCACACAGACACACACACACACACACACACACACACACACACACACACACACATATATATATATATATATATATATATATATATATATATATATATATATATATATAGGAGGATTGATATTGCATAGCAACTGGGTATTATTTTGTTTGTTTCTAATCTTCATACATTGTTTCTAATCCTCCCGTTTATTCATACTTTAATAAGAAAACATATTGCGAAACCGTTAATACAACACATCCATCCGCCCGAAACAAAAGCCGAAAGAGAACAGAACCGTTATGCATTATGAATATTCTTATGTGGCAGTGAATGCTGGAGCATCTCATCAGAGATGAAGAAACTTGGTTCTACAGAAAGATGCTGAGAATACGATAGAGCGAACCTGCAACAACGTTCTCAAAGAGAATGGAAACAAACAGCACATTTATTCTTGACATCAGGATGATTCATTTAAAAAAGGCCTTGGAAAATTTTATAATCATAGGACAAATTGACAATGCACAAAACCGACCTGGCGATCGAATAAATGACAGAGTTGTGTTTGTGTTGCTTGTTTTGTTTTGTTTTTATACACACACACACACATATATATGTATATATATACATACATATATATATATATATATATATATATATATATATATGATTTATTTTTTTTTTACTGCTTATTAACTCTTTTGAGTGTATTTAAAGCTGAAACATATAACATTATAAAAATTATTATGGGGATACAATTCTTACTATTTAACCTATAGCTGGGAAAAGAAGTGGATTCACCCCTTTCCCAAGGGTATTTGCACGGAAGTAAATATACCAAGCCCTAATGGAATTCGAACTCGCCTCTCCGATTTCTTATTGCGAGCTTTTATCCATTACACACTCCGCACATCTAAGCTTACAGCACCTGCTGTCCCAAGCGGACACCCAGCCAGGTACTGACCAGGCTCGACGTTGCTTAACTTCCGGTGGCCAGACGAGAGCCGGTTTTTCAACGTGATTTAGCCGTAACTATTTCTACTCATATATCCAAGCTTACAGTACCTGGTATTCCGAAGCGGTCACGCATATACGTACTGACCATGGGTTACCTCGAGGCGGTGTAATGGTTAGCAAGCTTGGCTCGCTAGAACAATTACAACTGAGTAGTGAGTTCGATCCTCACTGGGTGCCCCATACTTTCGGCCTTGTGCCACATCTAAGCTACACTTGGAAAATCACTATACATACTGACCATGTTCGACGTTGCTTAACTGCGGTGATCGTACGGGAACCCGTGTTTCAACGTGATATGGCCGTAAGACACGGGGTTTTGTGGGAGATAGAAAGACTAAATTTATTAAGAGCTATAAAGGACAGGAAATTGTGGAGAGCCAGAATCGCCAACGCCCTGAGGGGACGCTGCATGTAGATGAACATAACATGATTAGATCGTGTTTGTTATTACAAGATTATCATCACGTCTGTATTACGCAATTTCCTGACTTTTTAACATATATCTTCCCTATACTCCCACTTTACTTTATATTTTCCTTTTGTGACTTTTTTTTTATTTCTCTTCTACAATTTACTATCCTTTTTTTTTGTTCTGATCTCTTTTTCTTCATTTTCCCCTTTATTTCCGTTCATGCTCCAGCGTATGTTTCTCTCTCTCTCTCTCTCTCTCTCTCTCTCTCTCTCTCTCTATCATTTCAACACGCCCTTATTTTCTTTGTTCTTCTTTTAAATCGCGTTTCTGTTTTCACCCTCGTCTTCATTCTTACGAACGGCTTATCTCGCCGCATTACATGTTTCTGAGAGTCACAGTCGTCAGCGGTAACGAATAACATTCAGAGCCGCTGGCCTTTAAACACAAAACAAGCGCTTCATTGCCTCCGCAAAAAAAAAAAAAAGTTCTATCGGCAACAACCACAAAGACAAGGTCAGCCATTTTTAAATCTATGACGTCATCCGTCCGTAAGCAAGCGGCCATTTGTTGGCTTCATTGTGATTGCTTTATGAAGCTGGACGAATAACGAACAAGCGACTTCTTTTATTTACAACTTCTAACCAGGTTGTTTTTTACATATAAATAAGCTATGCTCGTAAAAACAACACTATGACCTTATTTTATCTTTTCGACATTCTAATATGATTTAAGCACTTCTTTTTTACAGAGATTTTCGCCCTGCACAAGGTCGAAAAGCCACTCGAGGTATAGGGTTACAGAGTAAGAGGTACAGTTTCTGTGGATATATCATGCTTAGAATATTGCTGCCACATATGGTTCCCTTCTAATTACCTTGAACTCCTTGATAAAATCCAAAGAAGATTCAACAATATTATCGGCCCTGATTTGGTGGCTTGGCTTCAGTCAGTTTCCCACTGCTGTAAGGTTGCCTCTCTGTGTCTTTTCTATAATTACTTTCCTGGTAATTGTTTCGGGCTAGCTCTTCACTGTGGTACCTAGATAATTTAAGTGCAGTACGAGATTGGCGTCAAGATCTCATTAATTTATAGCTGAGCTGCCTATATGTAACGGTAAATTCCATGCGAACAGTTTCTTTTCTCGCACTTCTTATTTGTGGAACTCCCTTCCATCTCCATGCTTTCCGACCAACTTTAACCTGCAAAAATTTAAATACAGTGTCAATCGCTATCTGCTGCCCTCCTGATTACTCTTGCTTCTTCCTGCTCATTATTAATGTTTCTGTTTCTAATTCTTCCACGCACTGTAACCCCATATGTCTTAGTGGTTTTACTGCCTTGCATGGATTAAAAAAATGTAGGAAAGATAATAGTTTTCCCTAGAATTAAACAGGTTAAGATTGTTAAGATCGGGAAGCGTTCCTTTGGGTGTTGGTTCTGTACAATAACGGTTCAGGGGATGAAGCTACTCGGGTGGAACTTCTTAGCAATGGAATACAAATGGTTCGCTAAAGCGGGCATGACATGGCGGGTCTTAGCCATGAAATAAGAACTAAGGATTGAACTAAAGAGCAGCGAGAGATATGCCACTTTTCGACTGTGGGAAAGGGGTTGTAGGCTGGAAAATAATTTATCCCCCAGAAGGACTCGGAGACGCTTTTGAACTCTATCGAGACCGGAAAGAGAAGAATATGAATGTCCTTCCCATATATGGCAGCAGTACCCCATTTTGGGACTCATCTAGCTCTCGTAATGGTAGAGAATAGCAGCAGGGGTCGGGTACTTTAGTTGAGATGTACAGGGAACTGACCATCTTTCCAGCATATTTAGCGATGGATCGAGTTCCACTTGAGTTCCAATAGTCGCTCAAGACACGGGGCCTCCCTGAGAGAAAACCCGTTCATCACGATCGGTGAAGGTTCTGGGACAGTTCGGTGATGATGGAACATCACTAGTTTGGTTTTCGATGCATTGAATGTCACCAGCAAGTTTTTCCTCCACTAAGCTGTTAAATCTCGATCAGTGGAGAGATCAGTAGACACGATATGATAATCTAGAGTTTGCGAGGTGCACCAATATGCCGTTGTATGATCCACATCGATATTCGGAAATAATCCAAATATAAAACAAAACAATATTAAACAAATCTTTTTTTCTCGCTATTAATTATAATTTTGTGTCCTATTATGCTTGAAACAGCAGATGACCCAGTCTGTATCTGTTTATATTTCTGAGATGAGGTATTATGTACACTATTTACATTATTTGGACTATTGTCCTCATCTTTGTCGCCATATTTATTACAACGTTTCGGTCGTTGTATACTCCGGCCTTCATCAAGTGGTTGGAATGTCTAACTGAACCCTTTATTTCGCTCACTGGGGTAGACTGTTCTAGTTCCACGTGCCATGTTTAATGGATGTCAGTTATCTCCTGTTAATTCCTCTCTCCAAGTTCTCCACTGCTTTAACCAGGTATTGAACTAACACTCTTTGGGTTCTGTCACTGGATCTAACTAACGCCTTTATCCACTGTGCCATGTGTCCTTGAGGACATCCATTAAACATGGTTGTAATAAATATGGCAACAAAGATGAAGACAATAGTCCGAATAATGTAAATAATGACCCAGTCTATAGTATTTTTTTCTGATTCTGATAGTGCATGCCTACACTTATTTAATGATAGTAAAAGCAATTATTTTCTTTGAAAGATTTTTTCTAGAGATTTTTACGCCGGCAGTAAGTCATAAAGTTGATTCATCGTTTATGAGAGGAGGGGGATAAGCAATGATTGCCATAACTGGATATTTCATTGAAAAGATATTAGAAAAGAATGATTTCACTTCGAATTGGTCAAGTCAGGATATAATATATCTGCTGTAAGAGTACATACCAATGTATTCCTGACGTTATCTCAGCTTGGCTCATGTAACAGACTTTTAAATAGTGATATCCTGTAAATAAGTTGTTTTTTTTTTATTTATAGTTTTTGCAAACCTATGTCAGATTTAGCTGAACTTGGTAGATAAAAATGATATAATGACATACTTCCGGGAAATGGTTCGCAATTTTTTTGGTTTATCACATATGTCATCTTCATTTGTTTTTGTACTTTGTTCTGAATTTTAGTTTTTCTTGTTATTCGTATGTTGCAACTGACCGTTGCTGTGACCGTTGTGCCGTTCTCACTGTCTGCGGTTGGTTCGGTTTCGAGTCAAAGTAAAAGCCAGAATTTCTTATGTCCGTTTGCAACTCAGAAAACCCTGCTTTCATCGTCGCATTTGGAAGGCTGGCGCAATACATTCTTCGTTCAGCTGCAGCATATTTGCCTTCGATTTATTTATTTATACTGAATTAAAAAAGTTGTTTCACCGTTAAAACATCATTGCAATCCTTACTGGTAATATAAACATCGTTGCAAGATACATTTTTCTTGATATCATAAACCGTCGTTGCGAGTGAAGCCTGGGGATTTGGGCAAAGATAATATTTTTTTGAACGTTGTGAACTAGCGCTACATATATACAAAGAACTGTACCAAATAAAAGAAATCACATCACTCGAGAACTACCAACAGCGGCAACAACTAAAACGTATAGCATATGTAACTCAAAGAGAAAATAAAGACATAATCAAAATATTGATATTCCACACTACTTCAAATAAAAAAATTAGAAGGAAGCTCCCATCAATATTGGAAAGAGAGATAACAGCTACTGGACTGATAAAAAACCTATTTTCCTGAAAACTGAAATTTTATAAATTTCACCCGAAAGCACTACTGGCTGCTTAGTCAATGAACATCAAATGTTTCCTTTCAGGAAAACAGCTAATATTACCATTACCATTCCCATTACAAGACAGTTATTCCTGGCATTATATTTACATAGATTCACAAAGATACTGGTAAATAAATATTTGATAGGCTAAACTAGGAACTACTTATTGAAAAGATACGTTTTGATTCCGTCATTTGGGTGCAGCCGATTGGGCGTTAAAACTATTTTTGCAATAGTCTACAATGGGCTATGATAAGGTTTTAGCCACCCTTGATTACAGCAATTTTGGCTTATATAATGACGTCTCTTCTTTTTTTCAGGCAATACTGTGTTAGTATCAAGCTACTCTCATCTATGAACAATAGTTGATTTATATTTTGCGATGAAAGTAAAGAAATTGGTGAATTTCAACGAGGGCAAATAATAGGATGGCATCAGTGTGGCAAGTCAAATAGAAAAATTGCTAGGTTTTTCCAGGTTAATATTCAAAAAGGGTTAATAATATTCCAAGAAATTTAATGAAAAAGGCCATTGTCGTGTGAAGGAACGTTCAAGAAGACCCCGTATCGTGTCTGAACGAACGAAAAGAACAATGAATTGGGAAGTCTTCAGAAACAGTCGTCAGATCGTCAAAGATGTCATCAACAGCATGTAAATGTCGCCATATGCGATGAGAAAGAGCTAGGCTATCAAAGAAGAATTGCAAGGAAGAAGCCCTTTATTTCAGAGGTTAACAGGCGTATGGGATGGGTGAGAGAATTCAAGAGCAAAGATTATGAATTTTGGCAGTATGTAATTTGGTCAGATGAAAGTAAATTCTGCC